AAAATATATGAGAAGCATTCAGCTTCAAACAAAATTTTCTGATGAAGTTATTCAATATGAAGATAGTGGATGGTAGCTAAGTGATTGAACACTTGAAAAACTTCAAGACTGTGACTAACCGGTGGTGTTCTGTTCATATCAAATTTCATGATAAGGTAAGGGCGTTGTTACTCTTATACTCATTGTCAAATAGTTGGGATGGACTACTTACTGCGGTGAGTAACTTTTCAAGTAATATAAAGTTAAACTTTGATGATATTGTGGGTTTAGTGCTTAATGAAGAAGTTCGCAAAATGAGCGGTGAAACTTTAAATTATGCTCTAAATGTTGAAACAAAAGAAAGGCATCTAGATAGAAACACAAGCGAAAAAAAATTTAAGTACAGATTAGAGAAAGAAAAAGATAGAGGTGTAAGTTGGAACAATAGGAAGAAAGGTCGATTTAAAAAGAACTGTAAAGCTCCGAAGAAGATTGATGGTGAAAGTCCAGAAAGAAAATTTTCTACAAATGCCTCGATATGAAATTCAATGTGACTCCCTTATTTTATCCCTATAAAGTATTAAATCATGGATAGTAATTTTAGGTGTCTTTTTTTTATGTTTGTCCCAATAAAAATGTGTTCAAAAAATACACTTAATGTGATCTAAAGGTGTATTTGGGAGATAACAGTGCATACAATATTATTGAAAAGAGTAATTATGATATCATACTGTGTCAAATACATTAGTTTGAAAACTGAATGAAGTAGCTGGAAGGTAGGGGTATGTGATCACTTGCACCGTAGGCTTGGTCAACTTTTCATGTTTGAAGAGAAATCTAATTTCTATGAGTCAACTTGCAAGGTAGGGCTATGCGATCACTTGCACAAGTGAATTGTGAAAAATGACTAACAATGCAATGGTGATGACTCGAGGCAACATTAAAGATACACTTTATCTATCAATAGATGTTTGAATCCACTGGAGTAGCAGGAACAAAGGTTTATACAGGTTTCTAACACCGTAGGCTTTGTCAAATGATTGAGAAATGTATGAAGTCCCTTCTTTCTAAAAATAAACTTTAGGGTTTAAAGTTTATAGACTTATTTTTTATGGGGATCGTATTTATAGCAAGAAAAAGAAAATTTTTTTCTCTAAAAGTGATTCAAAATTGAAGCCTCAAAAGCTGAAGTTAGTGCATATTGATGTATGACGTCCTACTCCAGTTCAGTTTATTGGAGGTTCTCTATACTTTGTCACTTTCACTGATAATCACAATAGAAAGGAATGGGTGTACCACTTGAAACATAAATCTAAAGGGTTTGATTTGTCTAAAAGGTGGAAAGGCATGTTAGAAAATGAGAGAAGCTTGAGGTTGAAGTTTCTTATATCAGATAATAATGACAAGTATCATGATTAGATATTCAGAAGTTATTGTGCTTTAGAAGGAATCATATATGAGTTCACTATTCCAAGTACACCATAACAAAGTGGTGTTGTTGGGCTCATGAATAGAACCATCACAGACTGTGCCAGTAGTATGAAGTTGCATGCAGGTTTGCCAAAGCAGTTATGGGCAGAAGTACTGAACAATGCAATTTATCTAATTAATTGTGGTCTGTCGGTACCATTGAATGAAAGCTTACCTGAAGAAAGTTGGAGTAGAAAAGAAATAAATCTCTCACCTGAAAGTATTTGATTGTTCATCATATGTTTATGTTGATGTGGGATCCATAAGTAAGTTTGATTCAAAATCTCTCAAGTGTGTTTTTATTTTGTATGACTAAGATGAATTTAGTTACAAATTCAGGGACTATCAGAATAAAAAATTTATTAAGAGCGGAAATGTCACTTTCAATGAAATAAAGATATACAAAGACAAAATAGAACTCATGATTGTCCATCGTTTACCTTTGAAAACCCCTCAAATATGTTGAGGTAGAAGACTCGAGTCGTCAAGAATATTAAGAAAAATAAGGTTCTTAATCTGATGAAGCACAAGAAGTCCCTCAGATACATGCTACTGAAGTCAAAAGGTCCAGCAAAATCGCATGACTGATACAGATGTATTCTCCTTCAATATGTCATTTATTGTTGATTGATAGTTGTGAACTAAAGCGTCGTGAGGAGGTCACTCAAGTTGATGTCTCAAAAGAGTGGGAATTTGTCATGAATAACAAGATGTAATCACTAGTGTCAAATTAGACATGAGAATTAGCAGAATTATCATATGAACTCAGGGGTACTTTACCTTTAAGAAAAAAATCATGTATTGGGTTTGTGGATACTTCCCCCGAAGAAGAAAAAGAGTGTTTTTGAGTTACAAAATGCAGAGAGGCTCGTGTGGTGTAATTTGTACAATTCCTCTCATTTTTCATAGTAGAATTTTTAGTATGGTGTAGCTCTGTAATTTTTTTCCTATTCTCAATTTTTCCATATTAAATCTTGATTTTTTTTGTATTTTCTATAATATATTGTTATATGATTATGTTCTAAGTTTTGTTTATAATCTCTTGAATCGGTTTTCCGTATCTCTTCCCCAATAATTTCATTAATAAAAGCACCCAAAGTTATAGATATTAGCTCAGTTAATATATATATATATATATATATATATATTATATATCCTTATTGTTTTGTCTCATATTCCAAAGAAGTTTGGAATGATGACAAGTCTGAATTCTACACAACAAATGGATTTGTGATTATTGTTGGATTAAAAGAAATGTTAAAATGAAAAAAAAAAAAAAAAGAAAGAGAGAACTGAAAAATTTCTGCGAGCAATGCACAAGTCGCATTACCCTGTTCTGATCATGTTTATTTCAATAATGTATATTGTTGCTGCTGCTGTTACTGTGCTTTGACCTTATTTCTTACCGTTAGGAGATTAACAACCGCATTGAATTAGCTCAATGTCTTATGCTTTTAATTAACTAAATGGTACAATAAAATGTAAGAACTGTTCATCTTTGTGCACTTCTTATTCCTCTTATGAAATATTTCTCAATTAATTGTATGCATGGCTATTAAGTTTCTTCATAAGCTTAAAATAGTTAGTGTTTTGCATCACATTCTTTCTCTTGGTGCATAGTTTTCTTGCAGCATCTAGATTTGAATTTCAGCTCTCTTTGTTATTAAAGCTTCAAAGGAGGTTGCATATGTTATTCACTTATTAAGAAATTATTTTAATCCACAATTTTTTATTACTTTTATTTGCTTCATAAATATGGTGCTTCACAATGCTATGCATGATCATCTATGTGGAAAGATACTATGATGAGGTATATTGTTATATTAAGTATTGTTTACCCTTGTGACTTGTTGATTGTCATTGCAAAACACAGAAGTACTGAGAATTGTTTCCTCTTAAGTTAAATTTCATCCTCACTTTGACATAAAAAAATTTGGCGTATCAAGAATGTTTTGCAAAAGGTCTGACTAGTTGAAATTTCTTCAATGATCATATTTTTCCTAAATATTTCGTAAATCGTTATTGTCTATTGCAATCCATTAAATGATCTAAATTTATAATAACATTATTGGACATTTTATCTTGAGAAAGTGTCGACATGAAGGGAGGTCATTCACTGTTAATGAATTGAGAATGCCTATTTGATAAAGATTGGAGTTATCATCAATAAGAATATTAAAACTAAAGAAAGTTACATCATAGTCACCTAGAAAGCATCTAATAATTTTTTTCATTCAGCTTGTCGACATACTCATTTTTTGTTGATAGGATAGCCATTTAATAATGGATTGTAATGATATAGCATTGATGCAAGCAAGAAAATATCAATATATATAATAATCTTCTAAAGTCTCATTAGTCAAATAATTTAAGTAATCTCATTCAGAATCTGCACTAATCCATCTTCACCCGTTGGTTCATTTTCTTTCCTAATTCTAAGTATGAATTCACCAAAAGGACCTTTTTTTGCTATCATATTTACATGCAATTTGAAAATTGTCATAAGGTTACCATAATATGATTTTACCATGTTGTAGATAATAGTAAAACGCATCTTTATACAAGTTTCACAACTGGTAGAACTTATCCAAAGTCCCCAACAGATGCAATTACTTTACGTCCAAAATAAATGGAGTTGCTCATAAAATCTGAGTTTCTTGTCTAAAGATTCTATAGTAGATAGTTTAACCATAGGTACTTCATCACAAAATATAATACTTAATTTTCTGAGCAGTTTCCATCGTAAATGTAGTTGGCTATGACTCCGCATCAACAATGGCTAAAGAGATCAAATATCCAACCAAAAGCCTTCCTGTTCGCCTAGGCAGATCATATTAGCTTTTATAATATTTTCCTATTTGTAACTAAGACAATTGTTGTAATAGTATGTCTCTTTCATGGACCTCATTACCTGAATTCATAAACTATGCATTATTTCCTTAATAGTGTGCCTCTTTTATTTATGCAAGCAAAACCTCACATGAATTCTTATTATAATTTTTATATTATTATCCTCCAAGTTATTTTCTATCCATATGATGTGTTCTTCAGCTTATCATTCAACATAAATTGAATGAGTGAAGAATAAGTTTTTTTAGTTAAAAATTAAAATATAATAATTTCATAATACTCATAAATTCCCAAAAATTTTCATAATGATTTTGTTGACTTAAAAATCTTATCAAAATGCAAAAGTTTTACATGCAATAAAACCAGTAAATTGAATTAATTCTTGCAATATTTTTAATCAATTTAATAATAAAAGCTAATAGTATGAAAAGTAAAAACGAAGCAGTTAGATTTTAGAAAGTCAACCGAAAAAAACTACTTTAGTTAAAAAACAGCACTAAAGGCATACTATTATCATGCATAGATGTAAATCGCCTATTCAATTTGGGGGCTAAATATACTAAAATAAAATTATAAAAACATAGCTGCCTATCCAAATGTTATTCTACTTACTATTCTTAAGAAAGCAGAACTAAAATCACTTGCTCAACAGATAGCTTTAGCAGGAACTAAATACAACTGAAAGAATTAAAAATTAATACCTGCAGGAGATTAGTGCAAACAGCCATTTCTCCACAAGTGATTTCAGCCCCAAAATTTTTGCAGATCCTTCTGAAAGGAAGGTTGCCAACAGTAGTAAGAGGTGCAAGGTAAAGCTTCCCTCTAAAATCAACAAGTTTTTTCTCCCTTGCAAGAGGCTTTATACTCAAATCAGATTTAGAACACATTTTAATGCTTGAGGCCCCTTCACAACAATAAGGCAAACTATTATTTGGAAGATCATTTTCCCTTTCACATTTACCTACTGAATGAACAAAATATAAGTCAGTTAAGAACATGTGCCACCTGAGCTGCAACAAGACAAATCAAAATAGTAGAAAAGATAATAATTGTACCCTCACCATAAGTTGCTTCAATATTTCCATCAACATGAGATTTTACCTTCTTCGGACGTCTAGACTCATAGAAGTCTGAAGAATCGCTTGAACATTTTGTTTCTATAGCCTTCCCTGGAGATTGGCTCATTTCATTCGCATTCATAGAACGAGTATCATCAACTTCATCAGCACAAAGATCATTCAAAACAATGGAATTTTCTTGATTGGTGTCCAACTGACCATTTCCTGCCTTCGACACAATACTTTTGTTCCCCTGCAATGCGCAACTGTAAGAGATGGAAACCAAAAAAATAAAACAGCACTGTTTTCGAAGTTGCTATTTGCAAAATAGTTGATTAGGGTTTCACTAATTTAGTTTAGATAAATTTTAAAAGAGCATGGAACAGTAGCAGACTGAAATCTTTGACTCAAAAAAAAAAGCCCACGTAAACAAGATAATGAGTGAAAGAAAACTAAAACAGTTTTAAATATTATCCCAGGTAAAACAAGAAAAATTTAGTAGTGATGAAACTATTAGATAAAAAGGAAGGGCAAGAATGTTTGAAAAAAAAAGGATAAAGTGTAAACTTTCATGGGAATGCAATAAATCCATTTTAATAATCATCTTTATAGCTACTAAATTTATGAATGATTTTTACCAATTGTTGTGAAATAAAGTACACAAGGCACAGTTTATGAAGCCTAAGATGGGTCACAGCACATAATCTTTGGAATAATATAAATTCTACTTCGGTGAGTATGAACATCGCTTCTCGGAAAAGATGAATTTTTCTTTTAAGAAACAAGAAGACATATCCATCGCAAAGATACAAAATTAAGATCATTGAAATCATTTTATTTGCATTGCAGACAAAAGAAAATTACATGTATAACATTCCAACCCAAAACAGGGATCAACATACGCCGCCAAACCATTTTTGAAACAATGGACAAAAAAAAACGCAGAAATTTAATTATGCTTGTATGAAACATAAATAATTTATACAATTCAGTTAAGTGAAGGATAGCGTGATAAATTAACAATTCTTGTTGGCCAGAGATGATAAACAAAAGAAGCTTGAGAAAGAAAGGGGTTTAAGAAGCTGCAAAGAGAAAAGCATTTCACGTTCCACCAACGCTTGCTCAGAAGTATTTGATGATAAGAATGGCATGGAATCTTCGTACAAATAAGCTGTAGGTGATTTGCAGATTGAACGGTATAAATTCAATATAAATAATTAAGGACAGCATTTTAAAAATCTACCTCAAAGAAAGTGTAAACTAGTGTAGCACAAAGAACTATATAAAGAACAATGCGCAAAATTGACAAGTTGATGGCACAAAAGAAAGGTTAACTAAGAGCACTGCAAACAATTAAGATAATTTGAGCTTGAAATTAAGCAAGCTGATCAAACTTTATAATATTTTGCATACCTTTAACCCCAGGGCTTTGAGTTGAGAATCTGCCTTGGTAAAAGAAAATTTATTTTTCCACAAAAGCTTTTGCAAATCTTTCTTCAGAATATTAACCTCAGAGTTCTTCTTAGAAATATCCCGATTTTCTAAAGTCTGTTTTTGATGTGTATTTAAAAATCTGCAAGTTATTCCATACGGGCATAACCCTTCAAAAGTAGCAAAAGGACAAACCCCTTCAAGATCTGCTGGTTTCTGCAGATAAGATTGTCATTACTTTCATCATTACAGACTATAAAACATTATTGATGAGACAACAACCATCATATGAGTTTGTATAAGAAAAAAGCACCTGAGCCAAGAAAGCATTAATATCATGATTAAAGCGGCAACTTCCACCAAATCGACAATCTTCTGTCCTACCACTTTTTGCAACCTCAGAACAAATATGAACAGCAGATTTTTGTTCCTGGATATAGTGTAAAATTGAAGTTCAATACATTCAAATATTATATGGAAATGAATAAACTGTCAAAATAGTCCCCTCACTATTTACATGGGACCATTTTAGTCCGAGAATATGCAGAAGTGTCAAATTAGTCCCAAGACTCTTTTAATATGAGCTGAAATAGTCCCCAAAAAAGAATATTTTAGACCCCATTAAAAAAATCTGGGGACTAAATTGGTATTGTTATAGACTCTGGGACTAATATGGCCCCCTACAAAGAGTTAGGGGATCATTTTGACACTTTTCCCATAAGGAAATTGCATAAGATCTATTAAACATAACACCACACGGCCAAATACAGATGCATTAAAGCTAAACATTAATTTCAATACAAGATGGACCTGCTACACATTTTGCAACAATAGAGTCAAGTTGAATCCAGAAACATACACACAACACAACAATCACAAACAAACTGTCATTAAATAGTATATGAGATTGATTGATAGTTCCATGCATTGACACTAGTAGCATCACAAAATGAGACCACAAACAAATGCATGAAATTAAAAGGATATCGAATATAAAGCATGGATACTACTAAAAGTATTAAATACAAGGTTGCCCAAATGGAAGTATGAAATAATACATTCACAAAACATGACATTATTTTATTATAGAAGTGGTGCAACGCCTTATTGTTGTGTCCTGGCAAAGATATTTATCAATGCTATTTATATATATATGTTCAAAGAAAAACTGAGTGAATTATTTGGTTGGTAAATAAGTAAAGGTCTTCCAATAACCAGAATTAAAACAATATACAATGAAACTTAAGGACCATATTGCCTTAGTAGTATAGCTTGTATGGACATCATACCTACAAACAATGACCCCAAATTAAAGCGCATAAGCATAAACAAGAGGATAGGGAAAAACCCAAAGGTTGGCACAAGTATATTGGTACTTATCGAATAATTCTTGATTGAGAACATTTGTACTTTCAAAGCTGTTTTCTAATGGCCGCTAAACTCAAAATAACGCAGAAACATAAATGATGGCAGAATACGTTGCCAAAAAAAAAACGATTCTTCAGCACTGACCTGCTTCCGCTCTCTCTTAAGCTGCCGCTTGGACTTCTTCTCCTTGACCACGCCTGAAGGAGCAGTTTTCTTCTCGGCCACGTCATTGCCGGCGTCTTCTTCAATCTTAGCCATAAAAGCCGTTCTCGAAGGAGGCGGGCGGAGATATTCAGCCTTCACCGGTGCTATCGCCTTAGCAGCTTGTTCCTCCGGTGTTCGAAGCTCCGCGGCTAATTTGGGGGAAGGCTGATAAGGGTTTTCAAGTGGATAACCGCCCTTGTCTGGGTTAGGCCTTCATTTGCATCGGCAAAGGGAATTGGGTCCATGGCGAAGGAAGGATGGAACAGATTCAGGTGACAGAGAGTGACCGAAATTAGGGAATTAGTAGGGTTTTGACTAAAGCTCATTTGTATCGGCAAAGGGAATTGGGTCCATCGCGAAGGAAGGATGGAACAGATTCAGGTGCCAGAGAGTAACCGAAATTAGGGAATTAGTAGGGTTTTGACTAAAGTTGTACAACCAATACAGCCCGCCGGCGGATGGATTTTGGTGCCCTCGAGTATGCTGGATTTCCTATATCCAACCATCATGATTGAAGTGCCGGACAGTCGGACAGATATAGCCAATATTATTTAAGATCGTTCATACTAGATGTATGCAAATGCCACTTTACTGATCTTAATGGATGATCATTTTACAAACAAAAGAATGTTAGCCTACTATAATTCAAGTAAAGCATATTGTACTCAACATTAGTTATTATGGACTATCCACTTATGTCATATCAATGTTCACTCTTGCTTTGAAAAAGTATGTCTTTAAGCAACTTGTCTTAATTGAGTTCTTCTCAAGTTGATGTTATATTATTTAACTGGTAGTTGATTAATGCATTATTGTCCCACTCATATGTGATTGGTAATATTTGACGTCGATGTTAAAGAGTTTGTAGCAATTTATAATGATTCATAATAGCCGTAAATTTTTTTTTAAAATACATTTTTAAAAATAGAGTTTGGATTGAGAATATAATCAATTTTATTTGTTACTTTTTTATGTGTGGCAATGTGTTCTTTTATGTCGTTGTTAGTTGTATAAGTAACAATGCATTTTGAGTTGTGGAGGATGAAGAAAAAAGGAAAAAAAAAAAGATATTTTATAGCTTTTGTTTCATGTATCCTAAAAATTCATAGTTTTCAGGTGGTGGATTACATTTCTGGATCCAATTTTGAGAAGTTTATTGGCACGAGAAGGATGTGTAAGCCTTGGAATTTTAACATGTTGTTTCTCATGCAATAGTTGGTATCAGAGCTGGAAAGATGCCACCTTGAAGGAACCAACAACGATCATTGTAAGGAGTGTTGATAGGAGATTTGAGAAGGGAAATTAATCATTGCAGCAACGTCTTGCCAAATTTGAGCAAAGGGAAGAGGCTGAGAGGCTGAGAGGCTGAGAGGCTCGAGGCTGATGATATTTTACAGAGGCGACCCCAAGAAGGGTCGGGGCGGGGGTGCTGGGGGGAACAAATGCCCTCCCTTAAATTCTAACTTTTTACTTATATGAGAGGGTAATTTAGTCTTTTGTCCCTCATGAATTATCATTTTTGCCCCTTCTAAAATATCACTTTATCTTTCGTTGCCCTAGCCCCTCCAATTTTGGGTCTGGGGGGGTTGTTTCCCCCCTTCCCTCTCAAAAAAGGGTCTGGTATCGCCCTTGGATATCAACAAGTCCAATGAAAATTCTAGTGATGATGAATCGGGTAAGAAACCTTGAAAACAGCTTAGACATTGAGTCTTTACAAATTTTGGAGTCGAGGTAGATATTCTAGACTTTGAATTGTAATGGGACCCTGATGAGTTCATCAAATTGATTACAAAAATTTCACCTGATTATATTGTTAAACTTGTAATGATCAAGCTAAAAAAAAGCCTATATGTGGTGGGAAAATTTAGAAGGAATTTTTAATTGTGACGAGCAAAGCATGACTATCATCTGGGCAATAATGAAGAAAAATTACAACAAATGATGCCCTAAGATCAATTTTTGAAAACCCGCCACTTTCAACAAAACCATTTAACAATAGAAGAATATGTTGTTAAGTTTGAGCATTTATTGATTTGGTGGAACCAGAAGAAACTACCATTGCATGATTCTTGGGAGCTCCAACCATCCATTATGAATGTTCTGCATTTACATTCTTATTGGTCTTTCATGATGTGGTTAATTTTTTCTATCAAATGACCTCTAGTTGAGCGGATGATTCCATTCAAAATTAAGACAAAAGCATTTCAGTAAGCAATACTAGAGCGAGGCTACTTGTAAATGTTTTAAGTGTCGTGGGTTCAAACATATTGCATCCAATTGTTTGAATCAAAGAGTTTCTTTTATTGAAGAACTTGAAAAAGACATAAAAGATGATACAAGTAAAAAATTTGAAAATATAGTCGTTGGTTCATTAAATATCACTAAATACTAGTGAAGATGATTCATCATTACGACACAATATTTTTTCATTCACATTATAATGTACAAGGCAAGGTGTGTCAATTAATTATTAATAGCTAAAGCCATGAGAATGTGGTGGCAATACCATTGGTAGAAAAGCTACGATTAAAAATTGAGGGTCGTCCCCAATCTTACAGGTTATGATGGATTAAAATGGGAAATGAAGTGGGCGTGAACATAGACTACTTGGTCCATTTCTTCATTGGGTGTTTTAAAAAGAATGTTTGGTGCAGTGTGGTGGACATGAATGCATGCCCACTTTTGTTGGAACAACCTTGGAAATATGACCACAGGACCATCCATGATGTAGTTGCTAATACTTATTCATTAATTCATAATGGAAAGCGATTTGTTTTAACAAATTTGATGGAGAGAATAGACAATTTAATCTAGTCAAAGTTTATGGTTGAAGTAGAGGTTACAAAAAACAAATTAAATTCATATTCTTTATTTCTAATTAGAGCTCTGCAAGAAACAAATCAAAGCTCTCTACTGGTAGTTATAGAGGAAAATGAAATAGATTCATCCATTCCATAGGTAGTTTATCCATTTGAACAAAATTTTCAGGATGTTATGGTAAATGAAGTACATGCTAGCCTACCTCCAATTCATGCGAACCAACACACAATATACTTTATTTCAAGTGTTGTAATTCCCATTAGACTTGCTTATCATACGAGGCTTGATGAACGTGAGGAGTTGAGTTGTTAGGTGGAGGAATTGATTATTAAAAGTTTGTGCAATCCAGTTTTAGTCCTTGTGTAATTTTTCCCTGTTGGTGCCAAAGAAATATGACACTTTCGTATGTGTATTGATAGATGTGTTGTTAGCAAAAATCTTACTTAAAAAAAGAATTTTGATTCCTCGAATAGATGATATTTTTTACCAATTGCATGGGGCAGCTTTTTCCCACAACACAGACTTGCAAAGAGACTATCATTAGATACAAACAAGAGCAAGTGATGAATGAAAGCCTAATTGTGATAGATTATTCGAGTGGATGGTAATGTCATTTGGATTGTCTAACACACGTAGTATGGCCATGCATCTCATGACCCATAGTTTCCAGCCTTTTTTGTGTAAGTTTGTAGTGGTATGCTTGACAATATTCTATTGTACAACCAGACATTAGAAAGACATCTTCAACTCCTTCGATTGGTTTTTGAGGTGCTTCAAAAGTAATGACTATTTGCCAACCTAAAGAAATGTCAACAACTTACTTCTATTTTTTTTTTCTTTTGAGATTTCTAATTTTAGCTATAGTATTTGGGGTCAGTTCGATCAAGATGCGGAGTTTCATGGATGTGAATTATTATATCAAAATTTTATTAAAAAAATCAACAAATTATTGCCCCAATCACATATATTCATAGGTATGAGCAGCTTCATTGGAATAACAATGCCCAAGCTAGCTTCAATTTTTTGAAGCAAAAAATGACATCAACACAAGTGTTAGCTCTTCCAGACTTTGATCAAGCCTTTGAGGTGGAATGCAATGCATCAAACATGGGCATTAGAGTTGTGCTTAGTTAAAGGGACATCCAATTATCCTCTTTAGTGAAATATTAAATGTTTTTTTTTTGTCAAAGGTACTTAACTTATGACAAGGAATTATACGCCATAGTGTATGCATTATATCATTGGAATCATTATTTATTGTTTACCAATTTTGTCCTTCTCTTGCATCACAAAACCCTTAAGTTCATTCACAGTCATTAAAAATTAAATGGAAGACATGCAATATAGGTTGAACAATTGTTAATCTTTATAAATTAGGACAAAGGAGCCAAGTGGCCAGGTCCTTAGAATGTGAATTTAGCTCAAATATCATTAATCACTCTCGAATTAAGATTGGATCTAAATGAGCCAGTCTAAGAGCTGAAGCTTTAAATCAAATTTTTTCAGCCAATTTGAAGCCATACACGACTTGGTTGATAAAAAAGTAGAAGTTGGTGTGGCCTCTTCACGAGCAGATGTGGCAGGTTCCACATCAGAGGATTTCGTTATGGGAGGTCGCCTCTTCATGACTTACATTGCTCAAACTTGAGCGTTGGTGTACTTAGGCCAAGACTGGATGAGCTTAAAATATCACTACAAAAAGCTCTTTTAGTAGGGCTTAGTCATCCACTCCACAAACTTGGAGTGGTTGGCGAAGAGAAAGGGAAGGTCTTCCATGCTCCATTGATTGAGAGTCTGTTTGTTGCTTGGTAATTGGGGTATGTTGTAATTTTGTTGCATTATGAGTTTTGCAAGGAGCATGTAAACTAAAACAAGCTCGCTTGAAAGCTGAGGAGAAGTTAGAGGTTTTATTGAAAAGGAACGAGGAGCCATAGGATAAATCCGTGGAGGATTCAAAGCAACCCAATTCCTTTCAAACACAAGTAAAACATTCAAAGAAAGTGAAGGTCAACTCCCTTGACGAGCTAAGGGACTTTCACTCTCAAAATGCTTCTTTGGAAAGTGATTTGGTCATACTAAAGGAGTAGCTTGAACTGCAGATAAAGGAACTCGAACAATACACAAAACAAAAGAAGGAGATGGAGGGGAAAGCCACGACCTTTGAAATGTCGGAGATGAAGTCTAAAGAGGACACAGAGTTAAAGAGAAGGCTCGAGGAAGAGGTTGTGGACTTGAGGATATTACTTGAAGGAGGATGCATGATGAATTCACAAAGGAGCTTAAGTGGATGTATGAATATGAGGAACTACTAGTGGATCATTGTAAGAGGATAATTAAATCTTGCTTGAGTCTTGGTGCAAAAATAAATATTGCCGCCATCCTAGAATGACCTCAATCATTAGATGGAACTCATTAGAGAGCAAGATAATGAGGAAGACGATAAATTTGAAACTTCCATGAATGTTTATTTGTTGCTTTTCATCCATTTTATTTTATTATCCATGTATGAAAGGATGTACATATTTTTTGGCTTGTATATCTAAAAGCACTTTACCTAATCAACAATTTTTATATAAAAATATGAATATGCTGAATTTTTTTTTGTCTTTGTTGTGAGTGTGATATATTATTGTACCTTGTACGTGTTATTATCATGAATTCTTTGATTTGAGTCTCAATGATTTTTTATAGATCCAATATAGGTATATAAATTCATTGTTAAGTCGTCACCTTGGATAGATCACGATGAGGCTTATAAGTGGATCTTGCCACCATTGGCAGCAACGCCCTTATCCAGACTCTCACACAACTCATTGCCCTTTTTAGGAAAAAAAGGGAGAGAAGTCAAACTCAACTTGACATGTTGAAAGGAATGTATATTACTTAGATGATTTAAATTTTGCTCAAATGTTGAGGATTAGTGAGATGAATAGCTCATTTGAGCTCGCCTAAGCTTGCTCAAAGGAGTAATAAAAAAAATCTAATATGAAGTCGGTTAAAGTGGTAGAGAGCTAGGATAAAAAGAAAGGAAAAAAAAATATTTCATTCTTTGACATGGAATTAGTTGAACTAACCCATGACCCGATCAGCTTGTGTGGCCATGCTTTGTCAAGTTATGTCACTGACTTATGAAAGACTTCTCGGATGAGACATGTTGAGAGTTTTTTATTGAAAAAGAGAATCTTTACAATTCCATTTTAAAATTTGATGTGTCAAGTAATATCATTAACAATAAATTTAATAAATGAGAATATATTTCATAATGGGCTTAAATGAAAATGTAACGTCTGTTTATTGCTCTCTCCGTCATTGGCACGACAACCATTCCTTCTGAAGTCTATAAATAGGGTAAAGGAGGGTCTTGCATAACTTACTCAAAATAGATTCAATTGGAATGTTCTTTTTGAGTAAGAAAATAGTGATAAATGAACATGATGCAACTGAAGGAGCTTGTGACGATAGGGAAAGTAAGTTATCCTCGTCAATCCTGTTATGTAGAATGTGATCCTTTTGTGTGTTGATATTTGCACTAAGGAGCACTTCACTTGTTGAATCCGAACAACAACAAAGAGATTTAATATTTACAATTTCAGGTTCAGGAAATGACTGAGAAGCAAAATGCTAAATATCAAGCCCAAGCCAATAAATCCCAAAAATCTGCAAGATTTAGAAAATGAGGTTTTGTATGGATTCAACTATGAAAATAATGATACCCAACAAGACCTTTGGGGAATTGAAACCTCGAGTTGTTCGACCCTTCTAAATTATAATGAAAATCAATAATAATGCTTATCAAAACGATCTTCTAGAAGATTCTAGCGTCATCCAATTTAAAATTCACCGAGTTGACATTGCATTATGAGCCCAGTTCTCCTCACCCCAACAAAATAACGTCGGTGTTGAAAAAGTTTGCGATAACTTTTAGTGATTCATAATAGCCACAACCTTTTTTGTTAAAACATTTCTTTTTCTAATTAGTTTAGCATTAGAGTTTTGGACAAAGAGTGTACTCTATTTTCTCTATGATTATTCTTTTCGTGTGTGTCGGTGTGACTTTCTATATTGTTGTTAGTTATATAAATAACATTTATATTGAGCTATGGGGGATGAAGAGAAATAAAAATTCAGTAGCTTATTGCATTTTTTTTTATTATAAAAACTTACAAATTTCAGGCGGTGAATTACATCTCTAGATTCAATTCCAGGAAGTTCATTGGCAAAAAAGGAAGTGTAAACCTTGGAGTTTCAGCGTGCTGCTTCTCACGACATCAATATTGAATGTAGTTATTATTAGACATCATTACATTGCTATGCTAGAATTAATAAATGCATGCTTCTATATTAAGTCATATCCTAATAAAAATAAATAACTCCACCTCAGTGCCATTATTCTCGGGCTCAATAATTATAATCTCGTAGCCCTCAATAATGTGGGTAATGGTAATTCTTTTTGCGTATGAATAGTCCAAAATCCCATAAAAGAAACAAGAATATTTGGAAGAACTTGATTGTATCATTCAAATAGATCTTTCATGTTAAAAGATAGTCTCCTTGAGTATAAAAAAAAAACAATCAATATGACTTTGTCTCCTTGAGTATAAAAAAAAAAAACAATCAATATGACTATTACCTACTTCGTCTCCTTGAGTATAAAAAAAAAACAATCAATATGACTATTACCTACTTCTAGTTATGAACTTGATAGCCTTTAACCTTGAATCACATGCTTATTTTATGCCACTTTCATTTTAAATTTTGCTTAAATTTGTTCTGCAATCTCCTTCAATTATAGATTAAGATGTTCATTAATGCTCAAAAAAATAAAATAGAAGATAAACTAAAAGTGCATCACCTATGCCAAGCCATTATGATAGAATGTGTAGGTGTGTTGGGTGGCTATATCCATCAAGCTCAGATTAAGTATTTCATATTAGATGCATGTAAATACCACTCATGCTGTCTTGATGGACGATCATTGTACAAATAATTCAATGTTCGTATACCAGTACTTCAATAAATCATTTTATACTGAACATATTATAATGCGCAATCCACTTATGCGCAGTGGAGCCCAACCTTACCGGAAAAAAAAAAACATATCTTTAAGCTGTTTAGATTGAATAAATCATTCATCATTCTTCAATTGATGCTATATTCTAGACCACTTATGACGCGTACATGCTTATCCCACTTTTGCATGGTCTATTGGTAATAACTATAATCAATATTAAAATTTATTGGCATGTCATACAAGAATAAATAAATGTATGTTTGTGTATTAAGTCAGGCTATAAAAAGTATGTAAAACATGTCTCCTTAGTACATCATACTTGTCATAATTATAACTATTAGTATAATCATCACTTGATTTTTCATTTATTGTTCCCATTCTCGCAACCTTCCATATTAGGAGCAATTTAAATCTCTAAACCATAGTTTTTGTGAAGATATATACCAAATATATTTTGATAAGAAATAAATCCAATTATACTTGTAAAATAAGAACAACTAATTACACAACGGACCTTATATCTCCATCAACATAATTTGATGATGTCAACTGCAACACTATATTGTGAACTCCAAGTTCATCGAAACGAATCAGAATAAATTTGATGTGTGCGACTAGAGTGTTTCTAAAAGCCTCTATTAACATAAATTCAATAATTTCATCGTAAGGGTTGTAAAATATCAATCATGAACAGGGTAATGACATACAAAGTTATAGGTGTGTCTAGGACGGCGCTACAATATTGCATCGTGTTATTTTCAATTTGACAAAATTATATTTTGTTTGTCTTTTCGAAAAGCTACAGTTGAAAGTTGTATTTTATCATCATGGTTGGATCTCACTTTTTTTTTTATAAAAAAAATGTATCTTCTTCTAGAACAGCTTCATAGGCACATCAACTCTAAACAGGCGCATAGTGTAACTTACAGTTGTGCATGTTATCTAAGAAGAAAAATTTGCAGAAAGATTATTCAGAGGATATATATCCTCTATGATATCTCTGTAAATTATGTGTAAACTGTAAATATATGAAAATAAAAGAGGGAAAAGAATAATTTACAAGTAGGTAGGTAGGTTAGAGGAAGGTTAAAAGCCATTGCCGCTAGTTGCATCATCTGAAGCAGGGAGAACGATCTAGGGCACAAACTCCATCCATGTTTACAACCCAGCTTTGCTCCCCGCTTCCCACAGCCGAGACCCTAATTCCGCCTTCTGTTCACTTATCACCTTCTCATTACCCATCAAGCCATTCTTCCATCCCCCGGCTTCATTCTACCGCGCTTCCCCTCAGCCGCTGCTACCTTACAACCCGATATCTCACCCGCATCGCCCTTACCGATGCTTCCTTTAGCCTCTCTCTTTTCACAGAACTCAGGTTAGACCAATACGAAGTGGATGCCCTTCTCCACCGCCATCCGGAGATCGAATCAGTAGCTGCAGCTTCTCCTGAATCACTTCGTCTTCGGATAGGCACTTTGTTGTCCATTGGGCTCGGCAACTCTGCTCTCCGGCGGACCATCATCAAGCGCCCTGACATCCTCACCTCGCCGGAGGCTGGTCTCTTTCTCAATTTCGTCCATGAAGAGTCTGTAAAACTACTGCCGACAAAGCTCGAGCGTCTTCTAATTAGCACCCATTCCGCTCACTTTCAAGGGCTTGTAATAAGAACCAAACTTTTTCTCAACCATGGATTCCCCCACGAGAAGCTCGGGCATCTACTCAATGTTGTTGATATCAAGAGGGCTTTCTGCGAGAAGACTATCGAGGATATTGAGGAGATGATTTTGTTCTTGCAGCGCTATGGATGGCCGAATACCATTGTACGCCGTCCCAATCTTCTCAACCTGGACCTGCATAACCAGCTGATTCCCCGTGCCCAGTTCTTCGCTAATCTTGCTGGCGGCGATGAAGAGTCCTCTTCTCACTTGATCCGTAAACTGCCAGGAATCCTTGCATATACGGTTGAGCACCTTCAGTCACACCTGAAGTTTTGGAGATCTGTTGGTCTCACTGGTGGACAACTCTTCAAGATAGCGCTTGTGTACCCCAATATCTTTAGCGTCAGCATAGAGAGGAAGCTTAGTTCCAGAATTGAGTTCCTCGAACAGTGCGGCTTGGATGCCGAGGAAATCTTTAAGTTTCTCGTCAAGGCTCCTCTTTTCACGAGCCTGTCCTTTGAGGAGAACCTTGCCAAGAAGCTGGCGTTTCTTGTTAAGCTGGGATACGTGTATCGGACCAGGGACATGGCCTTGGCCGTTGGTGCGGTGACCAGGACGAGCACTGAGAACATGCAGAAAGTAATTGAGCTTTTCTTCAGCTATGGCTTCTCTTGCGAGGATGTGCAGGCCATGAGCAGGAAGCACCCGCAAGTGCTGCAGTATAACTGCGAGTCACTGGGGAAGAAGATGCAGTTCTTGATCAACGATATGGAAAGAGAGGTCAGGGAACTGCTGAGTTTCCCTGCTTTCTTAGGTTATAATCTGGATGACCGGATCAGGTACAGGTATGAGATAAAGATGGCAAACAGAGGAAAGGGATCGTCTATCAACAATCTTCTTTCTGTTTCTGATGAGAGATTTTATTTGAAAACCAACAAATGGATTGAAGCAGGATCAGATTGTAATTCTGATCAAGTTAAGCTTTGATAGTTGGTGCCATTTTCTGTAGAAAAAATGGGTTAAAAAAGGGGCTCGTTCCTGCCTGCTTAAATGAGGTTGCCGGGGGCATTCTTTTGATTAACAATTCCAAATGACAAAAAAGTAAATTTTACAAGGAGATTCATGATGAATCAATAAAATTATGTATGACCTCCTTCTAATAGATGAATTCTAGGTTTGAAAACTATCCCAAGACCTGACTATTCGGACCTGAGGGGAAGTAAGCTGCCATGCCATTCGTCTAGCTTAATCATCTTTATGTTGAAATCATTCACTAGGTGAGCGGATGTTGCTAGTTTGAGGGATGTCATTTTGACCATGATATATAGGTGCCAATTCATCAAGAAGCTTTTGGACCCGTGAGAACTTCAACTTGTTCTCCTTATACTCCACTTCATAGAATTCGTGACTTATGGTTGGATTGGTTCATAGAACCAGAATGATTCGAGGTGAGATCATCACCTGGATTGGATTTAACATGTTTTCTCAGACTGGCTACCATTAATGTAGGGAAGAGCTGGGGCACAATCATGCTAATTCAGGTAAGCAAAATATACTAAGATTGTATTTTTGTTTATCATATCAAATTCAGGCAAAGAACTTGTGCCGAGGAAAAGTCGGCATTGGTAGAAATATTTTTTTAATTACAGTATTTTTGCCACATGTTCAGATTACATATTTAAAATGATATTCTAATTAGGTTAAAATATTCATATGACTGATTAAAATTTTCCTATTTCTATTTTAACTAAAAAACAATGCTTCTCACATCCTTAAAACTCAACCCCACTCCACTAAAACACCACTCATATTTCTATTTTAACTAAAAAACAATGCTTCTCACATCCTTAAAACTCAACCCCACTCCACTAAAACACCACTCTTTTGTGGATACAAAATCTTGGTGATGGTATGGGTCTAACCTACTCAGGCTTTGAATAGGGGATAAATGGAGACTGATGGGCTCAATTTATTATATGAAGTCACAATAAAACACTCTTAGCTAAATCACACAGCCCAGTTCAATCAAAATAATTGACTATATATTTTAAAGTACAAAGTTTTACTCTTCTTCTCTAAGTAGAGGAGATGAAAATTCACTTATCTTCTTTTTTTATTGCAAGCTTAAATTTCTTTCTTAAGAAAGATTCTTTATTGTTCATGGTATGGGTCTAACCTACTCAGGCTTTGATTAGGGGGATAAATGGAGACTAATGGGCTCGATTTATTGTATGAAGTCACAACAAAACACTCTTATCTAAATCACACAACCCAGTTCAATCAAAATAATTCACTATATATTTTAAAGTACAAAGTCTTACTCTTCTCTCTAAGTAGAGGAGATGAAAATTCACTTATATTTCTTTTTTATTGCAAACTTAAATTTCTTTCTTAAGAAAGATTCTTTATTGTTTTATATAGTCAATGCATAATTTTTTCTTCGCAGGCTCCATTCTTCTTCTGTATAGAGGTTTGACACTGTCTTGGATCGGCAGATGCATCTTCTTTCAGGATCTAATGCTTCTCCAATAGAAGTTGGAGATTTTCTTTTATTAATGTTGCGGGGGAGGGTGGGCTAATGCTTCTCCAATGCTTCTCCAATAGAAGTTGGAGATTTTCTTTTATTAATGTTGCGGGGGAGGGTGGGCTAATGCTTCTCCAATGCTTCTCCAATAGAAGTTGGAGATTTTCTTTTATTAATGTTGCGGGGGAGGGTGGGCTAATGCTTCTCCAATGCTTCTCCAATAGAAGTTGGAGATTTTCTTTTATTAATGTTGCGGGGGAGGGTGGGCTAATGCTTCTCCAATGCTTCTCCAATAGAAGTTGGAGATTTTCTTTTATTAATGTTGCGGGGGAGGGTGGGCTAATGCTTCTCCAATGCTTCTCCAATAGAAGTTGGAGATTTTCTTTTATTAATGTTGCGGGGGAGGGTGGGCTAATGCTTCTCCAATGCTTCTCCAATAGAAGTTGGAGATTTTCTTTTATTAATGTTGCGGGGGAGGGTGGGCTAATGCTTCTCCAATGCTTCTCCAATAGAAGTTGGAGATTTTCTTTTATTAATGTTGCGGGGGAGGGTGGGCTAATGCTTCTCCAATGCTTCTCCAATAGAAGTTGGAGATTTTCTTTTATTAATGTTGCGGGGGAGGGTGGGCTAATGCTTCTCCAATGCTTCTCCAATAGAAGTTGGAGATTTTCTTTTATTAATGTTGCGGGGGAGGGTGGGCTAATGCTTCTCCAATGCTTCTCCAATAGAAGTTGGAGATTTTCTTTTATTAATGTTGCGGGGGAGGGTGGGCTAATGCTTCTCCAATGCTTCTCCAATAGAAGTTGGAGATTTTCTTTTATTAATGTTGCGGGGGAGGGTGGGCTAATGCTTCTCCAATGCTTCTCCAATAGAAGTTGGAGATTTTCTTTTATTAATGTTGCGGGGGAGGGTGGGCTAATGCTTCTCCAATGCTTCTCCAATAGAAGTTGGAGATTTTCTTTTATTAATGTTGCGGGGGAGGGTGGGCTAATGCTTCTCCAATGCTTCTCCAATAGAAGTTGGAGATTTTCTTTTATTAATGTTGCGGGGGAGGGTGGGCTAATGCTTCTCCAATGCTTCTCCAATAGAAGTTGGACCTTCTATGATTTTTGAGTATATTAGTATCTCATAAAACTTATAATACTTATGAGATTTTTGATGCTTTTTAACCTTTTGAGACTCTGAGATTTTTGATGCTTTTTTACCTTTTGAGACTCATAGTCTTATAAAATATTTGATTAACCTCTATTTTCTTAGATTTATAATCTTCTTTGATTTTTAATTTAATTATACCATCAGAGACTTAACTTTTGAAATTTCCAACGTGTTTGTACCTTCTGAGGTATATAGCTTTTTGATTATCTTTATTCTTCAAGGCTTCTAGCTTTATGAAATTTTTTAGTGCACATGTTTTTTCCGAGTCTTGAAGTATATATATATTTTGCGGCTTTTTGTCTTTTAAGATTTTTTAATATAGATCTACCATCCATTTACTTTCAAAGAGTTTTTCTAATAATGTTTTGTCAACTACTAACTTTCCAGCAAGGTTTTTGTATGTGCGTGCCTTCGAGGTATATATGTAGAGAGTTTCGCTCTTCTCTTTCAGTAGAGTAGATGAGGTTGCAATGTTTTGATCGAATTACAAAGATAAGTCAACAATCCCTTGAGAATAACAACCAGGCTATAACAACTGCTAGTGGTGGTGGGCGGCAATCTTTTGAAGATTATGGATTTAGTTCTTAGTTTCTTCTTCTATTCTTTATGTTGAAAACTGGGTTTTATTTATAGATTTTGGGAAGAGCATTTCAATAAATTTAACGAAACTCAAATGATTTTAAATTAAATTGAATTCGGAAGTTAGCCTATTAAAATTTGTCTGATTATATAATTTTTTTAGTGGCATATCACTTCTATTGTTCTAGCCTCTCTTTCCCACCACATTAGCCCAAAGGAATTCATCCCATAAGCATATTCATCTTGTAAGGATCTTCTATTCCTTATCCATATATATATATATATATATATTCTAATTGAGAAGGGTAGAGGCATACATAGATGTAGCAACATAGTAATGATGATTTTTTTTATGTAATGTTCAAGACTCGATTGTTTACAATGAACTTATGAATCTCTAGGTGTTTGATGTATAAAATTTTACATATTTTATTATTATTATTGCCATATGTACCTTTGGCTATATCCTTTATCTGTAAATCTGGCATCCAATTTGTCCTGTTCTTTGGCGAATTGTGCAAATTTTATTATACTACAGTGCTTGGATGCTCTTTTAATTGTCACATAACATTTGAAAACTTATATCCGTCTATTAGATACATTACCATATAGGCAACATAATACACAACACAACCTCCTCCGTGCGTGAGAAAGAAGCAAAAATGATTTTTTGTGACATATGTTTAAAAGTGGTTGAACTAGTAAATAAACCTACAACCCATTGCAACGAAGAAGGTTGAAAAAATATTTCAAATAATTTTCAAGAAAAAAACTGGTATATTGTATGACATAACTTAATTAAATAACAAATGAGATAAAGAGGTTATGTCGAGCTTGGTTGAGATCCAACTAAAAATACCATTGAAGCATTAACAGGTTGGTAGAAGAAGAAATTGGAGGTGAAATGATTTTTAAATCACTACTAATGTTATTTCATGTATATGTAGAAATTGAAAATGTTATTTTTGTCTTCTGATTGTTCAAAATGGAAGGTCATGTAAAATGTTAAAAAATTTAGGTATGGTGACATTGAACCCGAGCTGAAGGAGAAACTTGATCTTATGTTTAGCGATGTTTGTTGTAATGGGTGGTTCTTCTAGGACTTCTCAAGAATCACAAAAACATGACAACATCTGAAATGAACCAGTTTAAAGAGCAGCACATGAGATTAATGAACATAGTGAATCCAATCATGTTAGGACACCACTCTCATTAATGTACAAGATTATAATATCAAAAATGAACTTAAACTATTCAAGTACTCTAAGGGGACGAAACTTCAACCAATATTTTGTGATTACAATCTATTATGTGTTGTTTTCACGACTCAAAAAAGTGATAATATCGACAAAAAAAAATTTGTAGATGTCTAAAAAATTTTATGAACAGAGATTGCAATTTTTTTCAATTGGTAGATAAACGGAGCAATGCAATAATAGAGCAAGGTGATGAAAAGATAAATGTATCTCATAATATGGTGAATAATGATCTTAAAGTCTTCAAATTTCTTGTGAAGATCTTGCTCTTGTTTGATTTTATAATTGTGAGTTCTTTAGTTGAGTGGTTTGAGTAGGCCTAGGCTTCTCAATAGGGACAAGTAGATTTGAACTCACCAAAAAAAGCGAGTAGATTTGGTTTTCATTAAATGGGGCTAACATACTCGAATTCGCTAGTGGTGTGGGTAGTTTAAAATTACTAAGGGGGCCAAATGGATTTTGATTTGTTAAGATGGGTTAGTAGAGTTGAACTCACCAATAAACCAAGCAGATGTAGGCTCTTCGAGAAGGGAAATGGTTCTTGGATCACTTTCTTGAGCATCAGGAGCAAGTTAGATGTGTTGAACTCTTAGGGAGATTGAGAATGAGTTCAAGTGGATTGTGGTATGCTCTTGAGGAAAGACCGTTGTGGAGGTTTTAGGGTCTGTTTGGCCTCGCTTTTTCATCGCTTCGTGACCCCAGACCGCAAATATATATATATATATATATATATAGATGCCATAATTTTCTTCGTTTGAGAGCGTGGGGGTGGGCTGGCGTCGAGAAAGTCGGCGGAAAGCGGGGCCGCGAGTTCTCCCCCGCTGCCCACGTTCTCGACCGAAAATTATTGACTTTGCCCCCGCATGCCCTCTCGACCAAATTCCTTTCCCCTTGGCTTGTCTTCTGCCCCGGTGCACGATCGATCTCGCGAAGCCGACGCTCCAGCACCCTAGCACCACCGATTTCGCGAAAATCTTCCCCCATTCTCAGCGCCGCTCTCTCCTTCGTGGGTTAACCGACTTCCCCTAGGTAAATACTTTGTTTTCTCCTTTTTCCCTGTTTTGAGCTATTCCTATTTGATTTTCCTTGTTTCTCTGTCAACCTGATCACGTATGGCAGAAGGGAGCCTGCATTGGCTTCTTGAAATGATCAAGTTCTTCTCTCCCGTTTAAGGTTCCTCTTTATTTGACCAAATCCATTAATAACTATCCTGTTTCCTAAGTCGTATGCTTTCTCTTTGATCCTCTTTATAAGAAGATATATATGTAGCATGCGTTTGGATGCATTTCATCGAATATTGCGTGGTTCATCATGCTTTGATTGATCTGGGTGTACCACTGTTGTTGGCAGTAACGATTAGTTTTAAAAATATTTGTTTGTTTTCTCTCAGCTATGTTGCTATTCAACAAATGGGTTTACTTTTTGGCATTGAAGTTGTATAGATTAAGCATCCTTTGCAGTATGGAATTGGTTTAAAAATAATCGTTGTTGTAAGCATCAATGGCATAATTATTGATAAATATAACATCATATTGTCATTTTTTTTTCTTTTTCATAGCACCTTTGATACTCATTGCTAAGTGAGTGGTGTATTCGTACTATTGTTATGTTTTGAAATGTTTTTCTGCTTTTGAATTATCGAATTTGTCGGTGTCATAGTTCTATTTTAAACAGCTTCATTAAACAGGGGCATAATGGTTATTTTTTCAGAAACAGCTGTCTTACAGCTGTTCTCACACATCTGCACCAAATAGACAGCCAACTTCCCCGCAGTAGCTTCCTGGGGCAGCGCAGCTGTAACTGCGCCAAACAGAACTTTAATGTTTATATTTGTTGGAGGATGTTTGGTGATTTTATGAAATGGGTTGGCGAGTATTGAGAGTAAATTGCCTAGCAAGTTGAGACCCTGACAAGTTTGACTTTGAGGAGTTGGAAAGGAGTTGAGTAGGCTATGATAATCTATGCCCGAGTTGATTTGGTGAAAGACATATTTATGGAGGCGAATGATTTCTTCGTAGATGCTAGTAACTTAAATATATTTTCTCTTGGATGGCCTCTATATTGGTAGATAATAATTGATCTAGGGGAGGGAGACGAACGTCTGCATATTTGGTAGGCGATAAGGCTGATGGATGCTTTCTTGGATCAATAAACGGTTGTTTTCTATATTGATTCTCATGGTCAGAGAAATTAGGCTTTTTATACCTTATCGAGTTGAGAAGACAAGAATTTCTTCTTTCTCTTCTCAGCAGATTAAGATGAACCCCATGCGGAATATTAAGATTCATGCACAAGTACTTCTATATTAATGCACTTAGGTGGTTTAAGTACACTTCCATGTTTTTTTTTTATTATTATACAAAATAGGCATAATTACATACAGAGCACATAAAACATTGCTATGTACAAATCAAACACCTAGGTGATTTTTTGAACTATGAAACCGATGCATTTATGCATGACAAGATCAAACATTGTGAATTTGATAAAAAGGAAAAATATGGGTTGCTGTCTTATCATGACCTTTGGTATTTGAGTGAGAATTTGAAAATTGTATGAAAGAGGGTGCTTGATTTCTAAATAGCAATGTTTTGGGTGCCCTGTATGTAATCACCCCAATTTTAAAATAACTTAAAAGTTACTAGTCTAAGTCTTAGGATGAACACTAAATTTGCTAATGACTTTCATTGTCAATGACATCACAAGAGGCCTTGTTGAATTTAGCCTTGTAATCCCTTACACTCTCCCCCTCCTCTTTTTAAGGGAGAAAAGAAAATGTTAAATTTTTAGCGACGGAAAGCTAGAAATTGGGCTAGGAAATGTGCTTAAATTAGGAGGAGACAAGTCTCTGAACCAGCTTTTTGGTAAGTTGTTAAAGATGGTGGCAACGATTCTGCACGCTATTGCATCTGAGATGTTATATAGAGATAAAACATTCTTAAATATATTTTTAGGCATTTTAAACTACGAGGCTTTGAAGTTTGGAGTACAGGTTCCTTTAAGACTTCAAGAGTGAAAGAATTATAGTGTGAGAACTCATTCAATGGGCTGGATGCTCAATCGAAGTTGATGTGGTGTTTGCGGAGTTATTGAAATGACGCCAATAATTTTAATGCTAGCAACATCTTTAGTTATTTATCGTTGGTCATGAACCTCAATGAATTGGGCAATTAGTTGCTCCTGAGTCACTAGGTTAGTGGATGGTTTACAAACATCATGTTTTGATTGAATAACATCATTTTGGTTCAATTGGCCATAATTTTTATGATTTTTATCAGCTATAGCTCCTTTTACTGTGACATATCATTAAATTTTCTTCCTACGGCATCAAAAACATTAATCTAGGATACTTGCCCTCGCCTAGGACGAGAAGAATTCTACCAATTCCAGGGAGTAAGGTTACGTATAATTGAGTTACTCTATGAGGATTGAGGTGGTCAAGTAGCAGTGTTATTCTGTCAAGGAACAGTTTTATTATGAGAGAATCTAGAGTAATTGTTTATTGAACAGGAAAGAAGACATTACTAATCTAAGTAGAAAAGTTATTCTCTCCCAGTATGTAATTTCTTCCCTATTTCTTGTCTTAATAATATACCCCTTTTTGAGTGGCATAATTGTTTTTATTTATAATATTGCTCATCTTAGAGGCTGAATTCAAGATTCATTAATTGAATGTTGAAATCGCTCTAATGCCGATAGTCATCTTCTTCTGAATAATCCAAGCCAAAGTGCTTTTAATAATGATTTATGAATTGCAATCTTCAATGTGCTGTTTCCATTGCTAAGATGGAATTGATGATGATGAAACTCTTAGTCCCGTCCTAAGATGTCCATTGTTTTTATTATTATTATTTTTTGTCTTGCTGTGGTTCTTCATCATAGTTAGTTCATTTC